AAGATTTTCACAGAATTTACACATGTTTCGCTAACACAGTAGCTTCTTCAGGTAAGATACTAGTACAATGATACAATTGAATTTGATCTGAATCAGAGGAAATATTGTCCTGTTTCGGTTTATAATTATTATGAGTACCTATATGTAAATCTATAACTCATTTTTCAAAATCAATTTGAATATCATGCAATTTATAAGTGTATGTAATTAACTGATGATTTATAATAATAAAGGTAATTATAATAATAAATACAAGATGTTCATGCTTCTTACAAAAAGTGAGTCTGACAACACTTTGTTACCTGTATAATACACCCAATCGAGTTGATCAACAATCAATATGACTTTGTTCAGAATCGGTTGAAGTTTTTTTTTCCCGAAATTGATAAAAACTCGTTTTTCTTCAAGGAATTTGGACTTCTTTTCATATTCTCACCCAAGTTTCGTGCAATATTAATGAAACACCCTGTAAACATATGAGGAATAGTGGCGCCAAGTAAATAATCTTGCTTTTTCGAACCATACATCAAACCAAATAAAGTTTACAAACAGACCCCATTGCTCTCAGTAGTCGGCGATTTTTTGTCGATTTTTTATTGGTGTAATTAACATTTCTCTAAACAAACTCAAAAAGGGCATAGCGGCACGTTTTGAGGTATTCTATGTCATAAATCACACCACCTACCACCTAGCATTTTTATCACTTCAACAGATTTGAAGATCACTCCAACGTTGACAATTTTTTGCTGCACAGAAAAATTATTGCCACTTCTGGAAACATAAATACTTAGTAATAACTTTCACTCATTAACTCAAAGCAGTGGGAAAAAGGGTTTGTATTTCTCTTGATAATGTTTGTATGTACTAAAATAGTAGATTGTTTTATTAGGATCAAAAGTGACACTTTGTTTGACAAGCGAATTTTGCATTTGCGAGGCGGAGCGTTTAGCGAAGCCGAGCGAAAGCAAAATATGCGAGTCGAACAAAGTCACTTTTCATCCGAATGAGACATGCTATTTTTTCTGCAACCGAAACAATTAACTCAAATAAACATGTGAAGTAACCATCAATGCCGTGCCATATGTATGCAATGCAACAAATGTTGACAAATAATTCATGTGGTGAGAATATTCTACTTGCATTAACAGCAGGTTAGGTTTTCTAGGATGTTCGAATTGTAGTTTCAATATAAATACAACCACAGAGTGACATATTTGTGTATGGACCAGGTGCTCTAATGGCAAATACCGCGCCAGTGCCAGCTATAGGAACAAGACGTGGAAAATGTTAGGTTAGTGAGCATATCAACAATGATAATAGTGATTATTTATTCCTCTCCATACTACACTGTGTTTGACTTGATAATCAAATGAAGCTAAACAATATCGTTGTTTGAGACAAAAAAACTATTGCTCGCCGTGATTATTCAAAAACAAGTTATCCATCCCGACAATAAAGAATGAAATACAGGTCAAGCAAGTATATTTGAATCTTGAAGGCTTCCCTGATCAAAACAAAAATTCTTAACTGAGAATACTGAGATGTTTAAAGTTCCAATACTAAACTATAATAAGGAGTATTTATATCTCCAGCATGGGTATGAAATGCCAAATCTGCTGAAATCGGAAACAAATCAGGTATGCGTCTCAACCCAAATAACCAACCATCACAATGTTATTTATTCTTGATGACGTCCAGTAGATCCTTTTTAGTTCCTAGGAGCTAAAGTTCAACTTAAGCTCCTAGGAACTAAAATTCAACTTTAGCTCCTAGGAACTAAATATGTTGCCTAGCAACATACCAATTTATAGAAACGTCAATTTGAGAGCTAATTTTGGTATCAAAATGGACGACTTTTGTGTCGGTTGCAGAAAAATGAAATTATAAGGAAGACTCAGAATAAAAAAATTTAATCAATTCGACAAGAGATGCGTGTCAATGAGAATTTGAATGAACCACTTTGTAGACATCAGTGATATGAGATAAATGTTTCATTACCTTATTACGCTCGAAAGAAAAACATAGTATTTATTACTACACCCATTAAATCTTTCAAATCTGGCTGGCTAGATCCGTTGTTTGTTCAGGCAGAAAGATAGGGAAATAATATAGGTTTGCTTACTCCTGAAGAGGGACACACTGTATACAGGGTGTTTAGACGTACTTTGAGATACATAAACGACAATCGATTCCGAAATACATGAATCAATTTTCGATGTTTTTTCCATCAAGAATCCAAATTAACGGAAGAATTTAGTATTGCATTGGAAAAATCTGTTTTTGGGGACGATCGATTTTACCTTATAACAAATATTAGCGCTACAAACTTTTCGCATCGGGATTGAAAGTGCCCTGGGTTTATAACATATACAGGGTGTGTTTCAATCTCTCAGACAAAATGAAAGGAGCGAATCCTCACTTGATTTCAAGACAAAACTGTAGAATAGTTTTTGCTTGAATGTCGCTTAGTTTTCAAACTAGAGCCACTAGAGGTCATCAAGAATAAACAACATTTCGGCAGATTTGGCCCTTCATACCCATGCTGGAGATATAAATACATCTTATTATAGTCAAGTATTTTTGTGCTGATGAGGAAAGCCGTCAAGATTCACATATTTGCTTGATCTGTATTCCATTCTTCATTCTCTGGATAGATAACTTTGTTTTTGAATAATCATGGCCAGCATTACTTTTTTGTCTCAAACAACGTTATTGTTTACCTTCATTTGATCATCAAGCCTGTACACAGTGGAGTATGGAGAAAAATAAATAATCGCTATTATTATTATTGTTGATGTGCTCACTAACCTAATATTTTCCACGTCTTTTTCCGATACCAGGCACTGGAGTGATATTTGCCATTAGAGCACCTAGTCCCAACGCAAATATGTCACTCTGTGGTTGTATTTATATGGAAACTACAATTCGAACATCCTTGAAAATTGAATAAACCTGCTGTTGATGCAGGTAGAATATTCTCACCACACGGAGCTAGCATGTTCCATTCGAATCTTCGACTTTGTTTGACTCGTAAATTTTGCTTTCGCTCGGCTTCGCTGAACGCTCCGCCTCGCGAATGCAAAATTCGCTTGTAAAACAAGAAACAAAGTGTCACTTTCGATCCTAATCAAACAATATACTATTTTTTATGATTTTGTGTGGTACATAAAGTGGTTTTTGTTCTTTATCTCGAAAACAAAGCGAGATATGAAAACACCTTAGGAGATAAAGCAACTTTTTAGTTGCTCAATCCGAGAAATATATTGAAGTTACAGAAAAAGTCAGTGGCGAATATGTTTTGTCAATAATATTGGTTAAGCAGGTGCCCCCCCCTGGATGCCACTGGACTTCGTATTTATATTTATTATAATATATATATAAATATATATAAAACTAGTAGTCTAGTGGGGATGCAGCAATAGTAAATGTGTACTCATTCAAGTTTGTCCGAGCTTTCGGAAATGTATATTTCCATCATCAGGGTAGACTACAAAAATTGGAAGTATTATAATTAATTCACAATATTGGAGAAACTTTTCCACTTACACTTATTGAGAATGGTTACTCTGTTGTAAAATTTGTAAAATTGTTAAAAATAGCATACTGATGAGACGAAAAACAAGTTAAAAAAATTATTTAGTTATAATCATGGTTAGATAAGAGGCTACTTATTACCTCATGAATAAGTTTGAATTTTCAAATCCAACGTGGTTGAAACGATTTTAACGAATCTGAAAGATATAGGTTAGAATCGGAAATGATTACAGAGATATAGGGTGTTCAAAACGAGATAATGCGAATAGTTTCGACACAAACAAATCCTGAAGTTGAAAAATTCCATTTTGAACACCCTATATATCTGTGATCTATCTCGATAGATCCCAAGTGTGATACATCGATAAAATCAGCTCTTCAGGGAGAATTTAAAAATGCAATAAAATACAGGGTGTTCCATTTGAAATGTCAATGTTGCTACTACTTTCTAGTAGAAGCGGCAACACTGCATTGTCGAAAATATTTCAAATGAAAAGAGCTCATTCCAAAATTTGAGCAACACATTTTCATGGATTTGTCCCGCCTGATTCTCGATATAAAGATAGTGTAAGCTCGTCAAGACATACCCTGTATAAAGTTATCAAATTACAATGGAATTGGGTGAAAGATGTCTGAAATAAAAACAAAATTTGAAAAACTTGTATTTTGAAAACTAAGCGACATTCGAAAAGAGGTGATTCCACATTATCATCTTAGAATTAAGCGAGAGTGCACTCCTTCCATTTTGTCAGAGTTTTTAAGAAACACCCTGTATAAATTCAGTATTTTCGGAAAATCTCTGAATATGTACTAACCTTTCACAGAAACATTTTCCTGAGGGATTGAATTTTTTTATGCAAATCATTCCCACCCTGTACATATACCAGATGGCACCCTCAAAAGTCCAGGAAAAAACGTCCGAAAAAGGAAATAAATCACTACCGAACAAGACAAACCCCGCCACCAATGGGATGCCAAACTAATAATATATCCACCCACAACCACCAAACTCAACTTCTTATTGGACACACAGGAAATGTGTGGCAAGATATCATGCTAATGAGAAGGTTTTTTTTTTCTCTCCTCCTAGAGATCACAGATCACAGAGACAACATCCATACTGCCTAATTATCTCTCATGTGACTTGTCAGTGTGTGTGCGGAATACTTGATTTCTTAGTATGAATTGCAGCAACTAGGTGACAAAGTTGAACTTTGGTAACAGTGGTTAAATACTCAAATACAAATAGCTATCCAAAATATCATTCTTTATAAATCGCTTCACACCTCAGGAATTATATCATAGTTACCGGAAGGAATCGATTATCGTGATTTATTGCTCGTCAGGCAAACTGAGGATGGAACTTTAGCAGTAGAAACACGTACTCTAGCATCTCCAAATCCAATAGTGGTATTTTGGGTGAATATTATCGTATAGGTATGTTCGTTAACGGTCAACCAATAAAAATGGAACCAACGTTAATAGATAGTGAGGTGATTACTACCAGTTACCCGTTCGCCTGTAACTACTACTATACCAACACTTTGACATCCCCCACATTTCCGGAGATTTACAAGGAAGGTACCAATTTGTACCAAGGCGGATATCAAACAACCCCATCTATGCAGGACCACTTTTTTTACCTTCAGAGGAGTTGCCAATGGTTCGATGACCACAAAATTCCGTACAGTGAGAGTCGAGAAGTTTGTAGCCAGAGTTTTTCGAATTTTGGGCAAGTTGAGGGGGAGAAGATCGACAATGAGGTGTCATCAGAGAATGCTGTGGACGAGCCATATTCCTTTTCAGAAAGTTTCAAAGGTTAGTGAAAACGAAAGAATGTTTTTGTTGGTACTCACGTATTTTTGTCTGAAAAACAGAAATTCGTTAATGAGAATGTGAACAAACCACTATTTATCGAGATATTTCAAGAAAAAGTTCGAAATTTCGCCTTCTTTTTCCGCTTGTGGTGGATGCATTTAGCTACTTGCTGTCATTGGACACTTTATATACTCCTGTTGTACTTCAATGACACATTTTTATATAGAAAATTCAACAGGAAATATGATTTTTATGGCGAGTTTTTCATATTTAGTGCACGCCATTATTTTTAATGATATTCTACCTCCTTTTCACTAAATATGGATAAATCACAAGGAAATCATACTTCTAGTTGACTCATAAAAATTTTCGAAAAAAAACCCATCGCATGATAAATGCAGTTTTCACGAATTGTTTTTTCTGCAACCGACACAAAAAAGTCGTCATTTTAATACCAAAATTATAGCTCTTGAATTGACGTTTCTATTACTGACACAAAAATAGGTATGTCGCTAGGCAACACATTTAGTTCCTAGTAGCTAAAGCTGAACTTTAGCTCCTAGGAACTAAAACGGATGTACTAGAGGTTATCAAGAATGAACAACATTGTAACGGTTGGTTATTTGGGTTGGGACGCATACCTGATTTGTTTCCGATTTCGGCAGATCTGGCATTTCATACCCATGCTGGATATATATTCAAGATTCACATACTTGCTTGATCTGTATTTCATTCGTTTTTCTCGGGATGGATAACTTGATTTGAATAATCACGGCCAGCAATAGATTTTTGTCTCAAACAACGATATTGTTTAGCTTCATTCGATTATCAAGCCAAACACATTGTTGATATGCTCACTAACTAAACATTTTCCACGTCTTGTTCTTATACCTGGCACTGGCGCGGTTTTTGCCATTAGAGCACCTGGTCCATACACAAATATGTCACTCTGCTGTTGTATTTATATTGAAACTACGATTCAAACATCCTTGAAAATTGAATAAACCTGGAGCTAAAGTTCAACTTTAGCTCCTAGAAATTAAAGCTCAACTTTAGCTCCTAGGAACTAAATGTGTTGCCTAGCAATATACCTATTTTTGTGTCAGTAATAGCAACGTCAATTCAAGAGCTAGTTTCGGTATCAAAATGGACGACTAGTGTCGGTTGCAGAAAAAAATATTTCTAACTAGTGAGAAATAGTAAAATACTAAAATCCTTTTTATACGTTAGAAATACGTCACAAAATAGAAATCAGAACACAAAATACAGATCTGCTCTAAACAAGAACATCTAAAATTCAATACAAAACGACGAAAAGAATGGAATTGAAATAGTTGGAACGGAAAACAAATAAAATAATGAAACTAATGGGTTTCGTTGAAGCAACTTTTACAGAAATGTGGCTTTCCTTCACATGAGTCACAAATATACCACAACATGCAAGCTACTTTGGTCAAAAAATCGAAATTTTGCAGGTGTAACATTAATGTACATTAAAAAAATTGGGATTGAAGGGGAAAAGGGTTGAAATAAAGCTCAACCACGCACTCATAACCGTTTATTGGATAGTTTTGCATCAAAACACATTCTTGGCCAACGGCGAAAAAAATTAAAATAATCACGGCGGCAAAAGTGTTAAGGACCAATCTTCAAAGGAGGCATTTTTGGACACATGTTGAAAGGTTTTTTTTTTCTCATTTTATATTGCAGCTTAACCTCCTGAAATATACGAGCGTAATTCTGAGACACCCTGTATACCGAGATACACAAAAAACGAGAAGGAAATGAGCAAATCGGAAGACCTTCCTCAAAGCTGGCGTGAAGATATCACGATAAGTTTTCTAGTGAAAAAGCTCTTTATATTATCTTTATTAAATCTTTCAAAGCGAACCGCAATGATTATCTTGGCCTAATTTGCGAAATTTTAGATGTCCGTTAGACACATTACCCTAGATGACCCTCGATATCAGATGTTGCTTTGAGAAAACAGTTTTTTTCTGAAAGCGTGCGTGATTCACCCTATACTCGCACGCAAGTTAGTTTAGGAAGTGTCATTTTCCCAATTTTCCCGAAGTAGTGCGGGATGAACATATATACAGGGTGTTTCATAATTGAATGCTGATCCTAAAGGGCGATAATCCTTAGATGATTTTAAGAGAAATTCTTCATGTGAACATATGTCCGTAACAGCTTCGTTTCTGAGATACAGGATGTTGAAATTTGACAAAAAAATCAGTTATTCCCCAATATTTCTGAAACCGCTCTGGCTTTTTTCTTCATTACAAATACTTAAAAGTAGTTACCATAAAATCATAAAAATCTTGCTTAGATCTCTTGGTTACCACAATGGGGGAGACCACCGATTTTTTGAAAATACATTATCGTGAACTCTATACTGAAAAACAACCAGAGAATTAATTTTGAATTTTTTAATTCATGCTAAGACAATGAAAAAAATAAATTAGAATGTGTCCATTTCAAAACACAAAATTCCTGCGCCATTTGAAATGGTGTCAATTGATTGGTGTGACTGGTGCGACGTATTAGTCCCAACACGCCTATTGTCCTTGAGCTGACCAATCACACTGCAACACTGCAGAATGGCAAGGTATCAGAGAGAGATAGCTACAGTTCGGGACTAATACGTCACGGCTCCACCATCATATTTGGCTTTTTGAAATATCGAATGAAATATGCTGATTTCAAAACGATATAGATCCGATTCCCTTTAACTCAAACTCAAAATATTGATTGTACATAACACGTAAATCATCATTCGTCGATTGAAAGAGGTTTGCACGGATTTCTTCCCTCAGTGGTCTTCCCCATTGTGGAAGTATGACTAAGAGTAAAAATCGAATGGGAACAAGCAAATGAATGCATTTTATTTTCTAACTCAAAAACCGTTCGCCAGACGAAAAAAAGACAAGAGACCATTTTTATGAGAAGATAAAGGATAATTACAAAAATAATATTTTTTTGGAAAAAAGAAAGTGTCGTATCATTATTTCGATGAAAAATATGACAGGGACAGGGACGCCACTGATGGAAATTAAGAAATCCTTCATTATGGAAAAAATGTATATCTATTCATACTTGGCATGTACCAAAATTGAAGAAAAAAGCCAGAGCGGTTTCAGAGATATTGGAGAATAACTGATTTTTTTGTTAAATTTCAACATCCTGTATCTCAGAAACGAAGCTGTTACGGACCTATGTTCACATGAAGAATATTTCTTAAAATCATCCAAGGATTATCGCCCTTTAGGATCAGCATTCAATTATGAAACACCCTGTATAATATTTTCACAAAATATGAGTTGGTGACACAATATGAAAATTTTAGTTTTTTTTTGTTGCAGTATTTAGTAAGTTTGTACAAAATCATCCATCAAATTTCACTATTTATTGCGAAAATGAAGAAATATTGAAAAATAATAATTGATTGTTATATAAATCCCCATATAGCCTTTAATTGATCTGATGTGGGAAGCAATTGTTGTCATGTCAATCAAAACACAAATTAGTTAGTGTAATTCTCAGAGTGACAGACAGACCGTTACTGTCATTTTCGATTCAGTGGAATTGCGATAAAAAACTTCCGGCTACAAATGCGATATACAGTGTGTTCACCTCAAGGACTTACCACTCCTGTAAAATCGTTATTATCCGACCAATTTCAAAAAACCTCATTTTGTTGGATAGGTATTTGAAATGCCCATCCAACGAGAGAGTGATCTAATTCTTGGACTGTTATCGTGGCCAACTGCGACAAATTTCAATGACCCATATTCCAGAAAGTACTATTAGGGATTTTTTTCCCACGAAACTTGATGATGGATTCTGAATCAGTACCACTTGAAATATACCTGTACCGATTTTCATCATCATAAAACACAGGGTGTCCGAAAAAACGAATCATTATTTTCTTCAAATAGCAAATGTAGTTCTGCGGTTTTTCTAGGAATGAATAATCACAAATTATCATTGAGGATTATTTCAAATATACCTGTAGCAATTTTCGTCACTTGAATAAACAATGTGTCTGAGAGAAAAATTAAAAAGGATAGGTAAGCAAAATTTTTTATCCTGATAATTCTTTACTCAAAATGAAATGTTGAATCAGGATCACTTGGAACATACCTGTACCGATTTTCATCATCATTAAACACAGGGTGCTCGAAAAATCGAATTAATATTTTTTTTGAGTTGATGAAAAAATATTGCCTACTTTTTCTTTTTAATTGTTTTCTCATACACATCGTATTTTTGAATGATCAAAATCGGTACAGATATATTCAAAGTGATCGTCAATAATAATGTGTCATCAATTCTTCTCAAAAATACCACAATACTACATTTTCTGATCACCTATTGAAAAAAAAAACATAATTCGTTTTTTCGGACACCCTCTGTTTTATGATGATGAAAATCAGTAAAGGTGTTTTTCAAGTGATCGTGATTCAGAATCCATCATTGCTTTTTGTGAAAAAAAATCCCTAATAGTACTTTCTCAAATATGGCTCAATAAAGTTGGTCGCAGTTGGCCACGATTACAGTTCATGAGTAAAATCACTCTCTTGTTGGAAGGACATTTCAAATACCTATCCAACAAAAATAGTAGATTGTTTTATTAGGATCAAAAGTGACACTTTGTTTGACAAGCGAATTTTGCATTTGCGAGGCGGAGCGTTCAGCGAAGCCGAGCGAAAGCAAAATTTGCGAGTCGAACAAAGTCACTTTTGATCCGAATGAAACATGCTATATTTTTTCTGCAACCGAAACAATTAACTCAAATATCTATGTGAAGTTACCACCAATGCCGTGCCATATGTATGCAATGCAACAAATATTGACAAATAATCCGTGTAGTGAGAACATTCTAACTACATCAACAGCAGGTTCATTCAATTTTCAAGGATGTTCGAATTGCAGTTTCAATACAAGTACAATAATCCACTGAACTATAAAGTGGTACAATCACAGATTGACATATTTGTGTATGGACCAGGTGCTATAATGGCAAATACCGTGCCAGTGCCAGCTATAGGAACAAGACGTGGAAAATGTTAGGTTAGTCTCCTCTCCATAATACAATGTTTTTCGCTTGATAATCAAATGAAGGAAAACAATATCGTTGTTTGAGACAAAAAACTATTGCTTGCCGAGATTATTCAAAAACAAGTTATCCATCCCGAGAATAACCAATGGAATACAGATCCAGCAAGAATTTGAATCTTGAAGGCTTCCCTGATCAAAACAAAAATACCTACTTAACTGAGATGTTTATAATTCCAATACTTAACTATAATGAGATGTTTTTATAACTCCAGCATGGGTATGGAATGCCAAATCTGCCGAAATCGGAAACAAATCAGGTATGCGTCTCAACCCAAATAACCAACCGTCACAATATTGTTCATTCTTGATGAAGTCCAGTACTTCCTTTTTAGTTCCTAGGAGCTAAAGTTGAACTTTAGCTCCTAGGAACTAAAATTCAACTTTAGCTCCTAGGGACTAAATATGTTGCCTAGCAACCTACCTATTTTTGTGTCAGTAATAGAAACGTCAATTTAAGAGCTAATTTTGGTATCAAAATGGACGACTTTTGTGTCGGTTGCAGAAAAAAACATTTATTCGACAAGAAATAGACACAGAAAAACCAAAAAATTTCCTTGACGTTGCCCTGAGCTAGTCATCTATAACTAAGTATTTTTAGATTATCTCTAGCTTGTTACCTATCAAAATATCAAAATTCTTTCAGAACCAACACCTAACTGCAATAAATCTCGGACTTGTGTAAACATAATTTGGCAGCCATCCTCTCTCTTGATATTCCTTGTTCCCATATGTTACCGAACGTGATAGGTGTATCGGCATGGGTCATTTGTCAATGAATATACAGGGGCGGGCGAAAGCTACAAACTAAATCCCTTGTAATCTCGGGATATAGATCGTAAATAGTATATTTCTCGTGGGTGGTCTCTCGACATTGAATCCGATGGCAAAATGAGCAAAAAACAACAGGATGGTTGATTCGGCATTATACAAGGTGATTCCGTAGCGACTACCATGAATTGAAGAATTTGATGACAAAGGTAAATTTCGGAGTGATTGTTTTCATGAAAATGTTTTGTACCGAGATATGGGGTATCTAAGTATCGAAAGATTTTTTCCGTACCTATATATACAGGGTATGTCACGACGAGCTTCCACTATTTTTATATCGAGAATCAGTCGAGGAAAATCCATAAAAATGTGCATGCTTATATTTAAGAATTCGCTCTCTTTATTTAAAATATTTTTGACAATGTAGGGTTGCCGTTCCTACTAGAAAGTAGTAGCAACATTGATATTTCAAATCGAACATCCTGTATTTAATCGCATTTTCAAAATTTCCCTGAAGAGCTGATTATATCGATATATCACACTTGAGTATTGAATTTCTTGCGGAAAAATTATGTTTTGAAGAAGCAATTTTTAAAAAATGAAAATAAAAATGCAGTTTCAACACCCTGTCTATCTGAAACGAAGCATTTCTTGATACAAATTCATATATATACAGTGTGTCCACCTTAAGGACTTACCACCCCTGTAAAATTGTTATTATCTGACCGATTTCAAAAAACTTTTTTTTGTTGGATAGGTATTTGAAATGTCCATCCAACAAGAGAGTGATTTTACTCATGAACTGTAATCGTGGCCAACTGCGACCAACTTTATTGACCCATATTTGAGAAAGTACTATTAGGGATTTTTTTTCACAAAAAACAATGATGGATTCTGAATCACGATCACTTGAAAAACACCTTTACTGATTTTCATCATCATAAAACACAGGGTGTCCGAAAAAACGAATTATGTTTTTTTTTCAATAGGTGATCAGAAAATGTAGTATTGTGGTATTTTGAGAAGAATTGATGACACATTATTATTGAGGATCACTTTGAACATATCTGTACCGATTTTCATCATTCAAAAATACGATGTGTATGAGAAAACAATTAAAAATAAAAAGTAGGCAATATTTCTCCATCAACTCATAAAATATATTAATTTGATTTTTCGAACACCCTGTGTTTAATGATGATGAAAATCGGTAAAGGTATGTTCCAAGTGATCCTGATTCATCTTTTTATTTTGAGTGAAGAATTATCAGGATGAAAACTATTGCTTACCTATCCTTTTTAATTTTTTTCTCAGACACATTGTAAATTCAAATTACGAAAATTGATACAGGTATATCTGAAATGATCCTTAATGATAATTTGTGATTATTTCTTTCTAGAAAAACCACAGAACTACATTTGCTGATCACTTATTTGAAGAAAATAATGATTCGTTTTTTCGGACACCCTGTGTTTTATGATGATGAAAATCGATACAGGTATATTTCAAGTGGTACTGATTCAGAATCCATCATCAAGTTTCGTGGGAAAAAAATCCCTAATAGTACTTTCTGGAATATGGGTCATTGAAATTTGTCGCAGTTGGCCACGATAACAGTCCAAGAATTAGATCACTCTCTCGTTGGATGGGCATTTCAAATACCTATCCAACAAAAAAAGGTTTTTTGAAATTGGTCGGATAATAACGATTTTACAGGGGTGGTAAGTCCTTAATGTGGACACACTGTATATACAAGCAATGTTCCACTCCTAGTATGCAATTTACTCTGTAATCAAGAAAAAATTGTCCTATAGGCTTAAAGAAGTTTGCTACTTTTTCGTTTCAGATGTTGATAATTTTGAATTCAGTTCGAAGCCAAGAAAAGAAAGGACAGCTTTCACCAAAACTCAAATAAGGGAATTGGAGAAAGAGTTCAATCATTCCAATTATCTGACAAGATTGAGACGTTACGAAATAGCTGTAGCTCTAGATCTAACGGAAAGACAAGTAAGTAATATACATACCGACTAAAAAAATGTCATGCAATGTAGAATTTTCCATTCACGAAAAGTTCATCATCATAATTATTATCAAATAAATAAATGCAATTTTAATATCGTGGGTAGATTTCTTGCAATGCAAGTACCAATACAAGGTGTCCCAGAACAAAAACAATAAATTCTACAGGGTGAACTATACATACCAAAACAGGCCGATTGAAATCAACTTGTATGATAGGAAAACAGTTCTAACAATTTTTTTTCTCAGGCAGCAGTATCCCTTGAAATGCAGGGTGTTTATTTCATGAGAAAGTACTCTACTTCAAAATAAAAGGAAACAGTGGCATGTTATATTTTTTTATATTATCGTCAGCTTAGTTGCTCTTGAACGCCACTGAAATAATTGAACGAATTTTTCTGAAGTATTTTGACATTACACACAAACCTAAAGAATTTCAATAAAACCGAATGAATGAGTTTCTAGCAATTGATAAATCCTTCAATTCAATATCCTGCATCTCCAAATCTACCAGTTTTGTGAAGAAAAGTCCATGTTTTTGCAACAAATCAAACATTAAGTTTATTTTTTTAATCAGTAATACACTATATTTTTTGGGCAAGCAGTCAACAGTACCTTATCAAATAGATTTTTTGTTGATATTTGTTGTAATTCTCAATTTATTTCTAGGTGAAAGTCTGGTTTCAAAATAGAAGAATGAAATGGAAGAGAACCAAAACAGGTTGTAGAACGCCAAGAACAAGATCAATCAAAATGACAGTTTGATTATAAGGGAAAAGACATTTTGATAAGATCCATTAAGTACTAACTATTGATAAATAAAATCGTGTTTGTAATTTTTTTTCGACCATCAGCAAAATAGAACTTTCGCTTAGGCAGTAAAGCTTCTAATTTACTGACAGTCGTAGAAAAAACTCGGCAGTGAAGGAATCACTTCACTGCCTACTAAGTTGAACAAACTATATTGTTGTATCGAAGCCTTTTTAACCTAGTCATTAGCGAAGTTTTACAAGAATAAAATTAGTATAAGTGATTTGAGTCGAGAGATATTTGAAAAAGTTTTTTTTCTGCAACCGACACAAAAGTCGTCCATTTTGATACCAAAATTAGCTTTTGAATTGACGTTTCTATTACTGACACAAAAATATGTATGTTGCTAGGCAACATATTTAGTTCCTAGTTCCTAAAGTTGAATTTCAGTTCCTAGGAGCTAAAGTTGAACTTTAGCTCCTAGGATTTAAAAAGGATATACTGGACGTCATCAAGAATAAACAACATTGTAGCGGTTGGTTATTTGGGTTGAGACGCATACCTGATTTGTTTCCGATTTCAGCAGATTTGGCATTTCATACTCATGCTGGAGATATAAATACACCTTATTATAGTTTAGTATTGGAATTATAAACATCTCAGCTAAGTAGTTTTGTTTTGATCAGGGAAGCCTTCAAGATTCAAATACTTGCTTGATCTGTATTTCATTCGTTATTCTCGGGATGGATAACTTGTTTTTGAATGATCACGGCAAGCAATAGTTTTTTGTCTCAAACAATGATATTGTTTAGCTTCATTTGATTATCAAGTCAAACACAGTGAAGTATGGAGAGGATTAAATAATCACTATTATCATTGGTGATATGCTCACTAACAATTTCCACGTCTTGTACCTATAGCTGGCACTGGCGCGGTATTTGACATTAGAGCACCTGGTCCATACACAAATATGTCACTCTGTGGTTGTATTTATATTGAAACTACAATTCGAACATCCTAGAAAACCTAATCTGCTATTAATTCAGGTAGAATATTCTCACCACATGGATTATTTGTCAATATTTGTTGCATTGCATACATATCTCACGGCATTGGTGGTTACTTCACATGTTTATTTGAGTTAATTGTTTCGGTTGCAGAAAAAATAGCATGTTTCATTCGGATCAAAAGTGACTTTGTTCGACTCGCAAATTTTGCTTTCGCTCGGCTTCGCTAAACGCTCCGCCTCGCAAATGCAAAATTCGCTTGTCAAACAAAGTGTCACTTTTGATCCTAATAAAACAATCTACTATTTTTTACATTTCAATAAATTTTTTCATTGAAAAAGTAGCATTTTTCGGCCTAGTCCGTGAAGTACATACTTCCCAGACTAGGCCGGGAAGTATCACATCGTTGTTGTCACTGTAACTATGGAAATCTTGATAGATATGGTTTTGATAGAGATGTATAGAAATTTAACTGGTGCGCTTGCTCCCTATTGAAGGTCGTTTGCAAGTTTCTCGATGGCGCCTACTCTGATAAACCTTTGATAAACATACTTGACGTGAGTAAATCTCGCTATAAGCTCATCCTGGTTACAATCCATATTTACAGGAAACATATTACCGACCGATAAATATTTGGATACGTATATGATTTGGATCAGAGCAGTGAACTGATTCCTGATCAAAGGATCGAAACGTCAATATATCAAAAATATTCTTGAGCGGAAAAAATGGTTATTTCCGATATATTGGGGTCAAGTGTTCGTTAGGGACGTGTTCCGTAGTTTCTAAATTTTGTGTATAATACCTAATCCACCATAGAAAAAAGAAAATCTCTGTTCTACAACACTATTATTTCAGTGATTTGAAATATTAGCGTGAACTGGTGTGAATAAATTCTATAAGGTAAGTAGGTACCAGTTACCATATCTGCTTATTATGATTATCGATATTGGTCTATTTCAATAGTTGATACATTCTTTGTTCTGGTTCTTCAATGAGGAAATTCATCAGATTTCATGCTTTAAATAGGTTCATGTCATGAAAGAAGTGAAGCTTATTAAAATCGGCTACAAAAAAGATTTCTTGCTTCTATTTCAAATTGAAATTTGAATGAAAATGTTGAGCACAGTATTTATTCGACCACATAATAATGATGGAAATAATCGATTCATCCCTCACAGAACCAAGGTTTTGGACGATTTTCCGATTATGGCGCCTCTATCGCAAATACCTGAACCCCACGTCCAAAACTCGCTTGCAATGGTTCCATATCGAGAGTTAGTCTGACGAAACAATTGAAGAGTGAGCCCACCAGTTAAATTTCTATACATCTCTGTTTTGATAAATGCAGATGATAATTACCATAGCTGCGAAATATCGGCTGACAGCTATTTGATATGAAATTAGTTGACATTTTGATTTTTCAAAGTTTGGTTGCAATTATCGCAATGAACTATAGAAAGCAGCTGCGATGTGAGTTTGAAAATGTCCATACGAAATTTACAATGTAACAGTTAGTAGGTATAGGTATTCTGTTCAAATTTCATCAGTTTTTGATACAAATGAGCATTAATAAAGAAGAAATTGCATGCTACAAAGAAATATAATATGGATATGTCTCTCATTGATTTGTTATTCTACATGGTTGCCAAAAAAATTGTGTATGCAACAAGCAGGCTTGGCCTAGAATTTCATCTACTCGTCCAAAAAAGTATTTTACGGACTTTTTACGTAAATTACTATTCTGTTGTGAGAATTTAAAATACGTTTTCGATTTTCTCATGGAGAAGAAATGAAATAAAAACTTACTGAACGGAGTTATAGATATTTTCTCTCTCTTTCTTATACAGGGTGCATTCTAGACAGTTTCTGTTCACAGTGGGAAAATGAAAGAAAATAACGGTGTCGGAATTTCTCATTTCGGTGAAATTTTCGTAAAACATGACTTCGGATGGGTTCAGAACACTGTGAATTGCCAAATTAGGAAATGAAAAAAAAATAATTGGGCAGCTTTGAAGGCACATTTATTATGCAATCTTTCAAATCATTCGTTTCACAGTTAAATCAAAATGTGTCTGTCATACACATTATCTTATACTGGGTCGGTATATTTTCAGGTGTGTGTGTGAAAATAAAGAAAGTCTAATTATCAATAACGACAATTATTGTATTGTCTCTTTATTTATTGAACTACAAACATCACACAACATCGATCTTGGCGAGCAGTTACTGTTAAAATGTTCAATATTTTCTGGAATGCAATCGAAAATCGGCAAATTCCGTTAATATACACAAGCTTCAAAAATAATAAAAATGTAATTTTACACTTATCACAATTGATATTATTGTTTCTTATTTGTTCACGTGTTCTCTCTATCTCGAAATAAGTGACGGGATAAGTGCAAAACTACCTAAAAACAATTGTTATGTTTCTAATATAGGTACTTTTTCACCATGATATTGTTTTCTTTGGGCTTAGAGAAGGTTACAATAATTATTGTTCCTTCCTCGTATATCCAGAAATAGATGTGCTACCTCAGAAGAATAAAAGTGAGTGTGCTACACAAATATTGCATACATAATTTCTTTAATTTTTTTGCGACACTGTATCCGTTAATTCTCTCCAAACATTCAAAGCAGTGGCGGGTAAAAAATGGACTACTCAATCGGGGTCACGTGACTTTCGCTACATGTCAAAAGTGACATTTTTTCAAATTAATCGCTGAAAGTAGGCTTATTTGTTCGAATATCGAAAAAGTTTACTTGAAAAAGTTGTTTCTATTTCAATTTTACATATGTGACTCGGATTTTAACTTTCTATTACGATTTCGATATTTTTTTAAAATGTTTCGAAATTTCTATAATATTAAAAAAATTGTAAATTCGATAAAACTACTTCATATCAGTAGTTTCATCATGCTACTAACTTTCAATTACTAATTATCACTAATTATCGACAAAAATATGATTTTCTTCAGAAAATGATAACTTCCACTTCAAAATTTTGTTATGTTTGATGCAAACATAACATCGAAATTCTGTTATGTTTGAGTCAAGCATTTAGACACGAAATTCATTTAAATTTATTTTTCCAGTACTGAAAAGATCAGTTTTAATGAATTTCGTTTCTAAAACCTTGACGATGTATCAACTTTGCATCAAACATAACAGAATTTGGAAGCGGGTATTATCATTTTCTGAAGAAAATCATATTTCTGTCCATAATCAGTGATAATGAGTAATTTAAAGTAGATAGCATGGAAAAGCTACTGGTATGAAGTAGTTTCGTGGGATTAACAATTCTTCAAATATTACAAAAATTTCAAAAAATTAAAAAAAAATCGAAATCAAAAAGTTGCAATAGAAAGATCAAATTCGAGAAGCATGTGTAAAATTGAATTAGAAACCACTTTTTCAAGTAAACTTTTTCGATATTCGAACATATAAGCCTACTTTCAGCGATTAATTTGAAAAAATTTCACTTTTGACATGTAGCGAAAGTCACGTGACCCCGATTGAGTAGGCCATTTTTCATCTTTTTTGAAGCAAAACTTAACGTTCAACTCGAATTTCCAAATAAGTCATTAATAAAAGTTTTTTCCATATGATGCCGACTTTATGAATGACACTGTACATATATTCGGAAAAAGTACAAATTTTTCCTGTGGGAAAGAATAAAATTTATGAAAAGTGACATTTTACAACCTGTCAATGGAGATGAGATGTCAAACTTTTTTTACGTCAGAGAAAAATAACTATTTTTCAACATTTTTCTTCCTTCTCAGTAGGGACATCTATTTCTGGTATACCTCATGCATACTGCTTATATTATTATTAATTATTTTCAACAAATCTTGCCAATGTAATTTCTTCAACAGTTCATGATGAAGTTAATTGTGAAAATGCTCATCGTCTCAGCAATTTGAAAAATATTCCAAAATGCTATTATCAGCATAGTCACTTAGAAATTAAAATTATAGTTGGATGTGCTCAAAAAATTATCTGAATATGTACAAGGCGAGTCACTTTATTTTGACCCCCTCGACTTTTTTTTTCAAAGTTGTAGACTTCCATCTACTGTGTGTCCATACGTTATTGCCATTTTCAGAAAGTACTTCATAATTACTAATTAATATATTATGCATTCAAAATATTAATCGTAGATACTAAGAGATACAGGGTTCAAAGAAATTAATATACGTTTTTCTTCTTGAAAAATTGTACTCTAGAGAAAACTCCGATTTATTTCGAGAAACATTCGACACTTTCATCCAACATGGCTCCTAGGCGCCATTTTGAAAGATATTGAGTAGATTTTCAAAACTCCCATTGAAGCAAAACATATACAGAAGGTTCGAAGTGAGGACGTGGAGAGGGGCCAAGTAATTGAATTTATAAAAACCATTTTATAGGGTGTTTCATGTGAAAAAAAAACACGTGAAACACCACAGTTTTTTGTTAATTTATTATTTCTATACTTTTTCAGCAAGAGTTGGAGAGGGGGTCAAAAAATGAGTCAGCCCATTGCAAACATATTGAAACTCCATAATCGATGGTCCAGTTGATGAATAAAAAATGAAAATTTGTATTTTCGCTAGTTATAGACCGGAAAACTGAGTAACAAAAATTCCTTAGTGGATTTTATTGGTTTCCAATAAGCTTAGATACAATATATAATATATGCATTGTTATAAATACGATAAGAAAAAAAATACAGGGTGGCCCAGATTTAACATTGAATATTTTGGCAAGATGTTCTTTCCATCGTTCTCACTGAAACGCTGCAAATTTAACGAAAATTATTATAAATACTTTACTTCGGTTTATAGGACCATTTTATCGAACAAAGTTTTCGAGCAATGTCGCCGAAATTATTTTAGGAAAGAATTTAAGCAACTGCCTTCTTCTGTTTTTTTTTTCAAAATTCTGGTTCCATTTTATCATTCTCATCCGCCATATTGTTTTGGATGGATATTTTGGTCTGAAATTCTGATATCGAATTGAAAATTTTCCAAAATGGTTGCTCTTTTAAAGGTACATATTTCCTATTGCAATCAAAATGTGGCACTTTATATCTAAGAATATCTTGTCATGTCGAATCTGAACCACCCTGTATATACGGTGCTTTTGTAAACTAGGTATTTAAAAAAAAATCATTTCCAGCCAAATTGTCCATTTCTGAGGAATTTCCTCAAACTGGTCGATTTTCATTTTCAATTCTTCACATTTATGAGAAAAAGTAAAATCTACAGGGTGACCCACGTATGAGTAATTACGTTCCCCAACAATTTCTTTCAAACATGCTATACTATTCAGTTTCTTGAATCTCCATGGAGAGCTGAATTCGAAAATATATCACACGTAAGGTTTCATACAGTGCGTCATTAAATTCAGTGCTCTCGTAAAACAGTGGATAAATTCGTGAAAAACTAAAGGGTTAATGAATGAGTTTTGGAAAGAACGCTCATCAAGCATTTTTTCAAATTCAATTGAAACATTCAGAATAATTAGTGTTGGAGAAATGCATCCTTTTTTACGAGAGCACTGAATTTAACAGAGACGCACTGTATATGATACAAACTTTATGATGTGCGGTATATTTTTGGATTCACTTTTCCATGGGTATTCCAAGAATTGAATAATATACAGGGCATTCTATTTGAACAAATTGTCGCGCACGTCATTACTCAAACGTGAATCACCCTGTATGTATATTTTTTTTAGAAATGTGAAGAATTGAAAATAATAATCGACCTGTTACAAGAGACTGCTCAGGAATAAATAGTTTGGCTAAGAATGAACGTATTCAGTATTTTACGAAAGCACTGTATACCGGGTGATATTTTAGACATCTTCAAAAGATTGATTAAGTATATTCTGACATGGTCATTGTTTCAGATGGAGTCTCGCGATTATGATATGTTTTGTTGTAAAATTACAATGTTTCGCATCAAGTGGTATGGATCAAAAATGGCATGTCGGATGAAAAACTTTTTTTTTGTGCAATTCACATTTTTTGCCATGAAATCGGCAAAAACGATTTATTTCTGTTATTTCCTATAATAATGCTACCCTTTTGTATGGGTAAGTGAATACTTAGTATAAAAATTATCTTAAACAATAACAACAAGCAACTTTCAAACGGAGAAATATTCAATTGTACAAAATTTTCCGTCCACTTCAGAGAAAAAAATTACTTTCACAGGAATGCCAAGTTTCAAAGAAGACACTCAGAAATAGATAAAAATCAAGAAAATGACCAGTATATTTTCAAATGAACATAATTTTTCAAGCTATGCATACTCCAGAGGTCAAAATATAGAAAATAAAGAGAAAAAATTCAATCACTGAAACCAAACATTCAATCTCATTGAATTAATTTGATGAATCGTCTTTTTTTTCTGCAATGTCCTGCATTAAAACTTGACCATCCTGTATACAGAGAGTCCATGAAATCTTGAACAACGTCATTCAAAATTCAGGTCGATATTTTTTATAATGTGAACTTTGATGCTATATCTGAATTGTGTACTTAATCCACGGTTGTTCCATATATACAAGGTGAAACATTTGGAAAATACAGTAAACTTTCTTTGAATTTTGTTTGATTCCATGGATTCCGAGTACTTTTCACACGATCGAAAAATACCAATTACTGGGAAATATTTCGGTCGTGCAAAAATCGTGTAACTTTCCGAAAGACAATAAACTTTTACATAGAGTTGATTAGGCAATTTAACAAATATTATGCGATCGGTATCTTTTTCTAATATTGTTACTGTACCCACGTATTTTGGTCCGAAAAACATGAATTCGATGATGAAAATGTGAACAACCTATCGAAATGTCACTTACAAATATGTCTACCAGTGCCTCTTTTGAAATACCAACAACCACCCCCTATTACTCATATTTTTCGCATTAGAAAAAAAATACAGCTTTCTCCGGAGAATTTCAATTCGATATACTACACGATGGGTCTAACGAATCCTAAGGGATCGCTGAATACAAATTTGCAGTCAGATCGGAGATCGTGTCACCTGCAAAAACAAAAACGAAAGAGTTTTGCCCGTTGTCGATGCCATTCGATAGATCTCGTCGAGACCTTCAATTCGATATATTACACGATGGGTCGAACGGATACGAGAGTTTCCGTTTTTTTGACAGGTGACAAGTGACAGCTAGAAGTTAAAAATCGAGCTAGGATGCTTAAATTCGGTACGTAGGATAATACGAGGTCGCTGAATACGAATTTGAAGTCAAATCGACGATCGGACCAATGGTTCTCTACTTTCAGAACGGCTGAAGATGAAAGCAAAAGCTCAAATGTTTTAAGAGTTGACCAAGGTAGCTGATAACGACTGCATCGTTGAATCGGTTGTGACACCTACAAGCACTGAAAAATAATATTTCTTCCCGTTCTTGATGCCAATCGATAGATCTCCTCAAGACCTTCAATTTGATATATCACACGATAGGTCTGACTCGAAGGGTTACGGATTTCTCCCGTTTTTTGACAGGTGACAAGTGACAGCTGAAACCAGAAAATCGAGCTAGGATGCTGAAATTCGGTACATAGAGTAGAGTAGGGGCTCGCTGAAAACAAATTTGTCAAATCGAAGATGGCACCAACAGTTTGCTACTTTCAGAAGGGCTGGAGGTAGAAGTAAAAGCTCAATTCTTCCTTTAGCAAACCAAGGTAGCTGATAACTACTGCATCGTTGAATCAGTAGTGTCACCTACAAGGACCGACAAAAAATGTTCTGTTCCCAATGCCATTCGATATATCTCGTTAAGACCTTCAATTTGATATATCACACGATGGGTCTGACTCGAACGGATACAGATTTTTACGTTTTTTGACAGGTGACAAGTGACAAGTGACAGCTGAAAGGTGAAAATCCAGCTAGGAGGCTGAAAATTGGTACAAAGGGTAATGAGGAGTCACTGAACACGAATTTGAAGTCATTTCGGAGATGGGACAGATAGTTTGCTACTTTCCGAACGGCTGGAGATAGAGTAGAAATTTAAAATTTTCCCGCAATTCAATCATCTAATTCGTGGTTCCCACCACACAAAAACGCTATCAACAGCAAGAATCCCCCCCCCCCTTAGAGAAAAAAAATACCGATCGCCGATAAATGAAAAATTGCCGGTGCTGAATGACGTCATCGCAATCATTAATCGAACGTTTGCGATTCCTGTTGCACCAATTTGAAACGTCTGGGGCTTTTGACAGCGATGGAACCGTGTCCATCGAGGGAAATTCTGCCCTTCATTTGCAGGTACCTTTTGATGTAGCGGCCCACGAGGATCTGAGGCCGGACCTGCCATTCGTTCAACACCTCTTTGGGAGCCATCACCTGAAACGATATGGGAAATATACAGGGTGTCCGGGTGCATATGTGGATAATAACAATAATAATAGTAATATTTTATTTCATTCTTTAGTGGAAAAATGAAATTTAAATAAAAATCTACCAGCAATAATTGATCATATGCATTATCGAATTCATTTACCTGATCTCCTTTGAGCCTGTCCAATAACGTTACGCAAATGTCAGCTGCCTTGATGCCGGCCTGGTTCGTCAAAGCTGAAAAAACTGTCGCTTCCATTTCTATGTTCCTCACTCCGTTTGCCGATAGACTCTCCAAAAATTGCATTTTCTCGGTTTCGGTATAGTCGCAGAATGCTCCGTCTAATCGCCCTTGCCCTAGAATGAGAGATAGAGGTTTTCGAGCGAGTTGTGAACACGTTTTTTTCCTAGAAAATCGAAAATTTCAATATTTCACGTATTTTCTATTATTAAGTTTATTTTGAAGTAGTAGCAGAAAGATCATCCTAATTGCGTTTGGCCTGAAATAAGAGATATTCGTTTTTTTGAGCGAGTTGTGAACACTGTTTTTCCTGCATTATTTATATTTCGAAGAAGTCGCAAAATATTTTGTTCATTCATCTTTGTCCTAGAACGCGAAGTCTAAATTTTTATGCGAGTTGTGAACACTATTTTTACAACAAAATCGATGATGTCACATATTTTTTCGCATTATTCAACGTACGAAACGAAACGAAATCGACAAATTCACATATTTTATTGCATCAATACTATTTCGAAGTAGTCACAGACAACTCCGTCTATTGGTCCTTGGTTTGAAACACGAGATAAAATTTTAGAGCGAGTTGTGAACACTGTTTTTTATACGAAATCGGCAATTTCACTTGTTTTCAAACAATAATTCCATTTTCGAGTGGTCGTCCATGAGCAGTAACGCGAGATATACAATTTTGAGCGAGTTGTTAACACTGTTTTTCCTACAAAATCGATATTTTCACGTGTTTTTTCGCATACTTTTCATTTCAGAATAGTCGCAAAAAGCTCACTTTCAATCGCCGCTGACCCAAAATGCGAGATACCATTTTGAGCGAGTTGTGAACACTGTTTTTCCAAAAAAAATTGATATTGAATAAAATTCCACTTTGAGTGTCCGATTTGGGTCACCCTGTACATACCTTCGTAAAAGTCGTCAGCACACATCGTGGTGCCCGTGACAGTATCGTAAGGGTCTTCTGGGTCTGCCAAGGCTTTCAGTTCTTTGATCAGTTTCTTGTCGAAGCGAGTTGGTCGTTTCACTATTCTTCCTAATATTGGCTGAAAAAAATCAAGATAAGAGTCAGAATTCGCGAGAGAAGTCGACAAATGAGTTACAATTCAGGGAACCAAACCGAAATTTTGAGATCAGTGTCAATATCTATTTGAATATTATAAAGAGAAAAGCTTTGATCGTTTGTTTGTTCGTTTGTTTGTTTGTTTGTTTGTATGTATTGAATAAGGCTCCGGAACTACTAGATCGATTTGGCTGAAAATTGGTGGGGAGATAGCTTAGAACCAGGAGACTGTTTTAGGATACTTTTTATCCCGGTACCATTAGGAAATTCAAGATGGCGGATCTAATATATCGGACGAGTTTTGTAATTATGGTCCGATTCTATTCAAAATTGGTATCTGGGGGTTTTCGGGGTCGTAGATTATGATTCCTTCGTCAAAATTTGAGAATTCGGGTGGAATTTGGAAATTCAAGATGGCGGAACCAATAGGGCGAACGAGTATTGTAATTATGATCCGACTCTCTTCAAAATTGGACCTAGGGGTTTTCGTGATCGGGGATTATGATTCCTTCGTCAAATTCAAAATTCAAAATGACGGATTTTGTAATTAGGATCCAATTTTATTCAAATTTGGTATCCGGTGGTTCTCGGGGTCGGAAATTATGATTCTTTCGTCAAAATTAGGAAATTCAAGATGGCGGACACAATATGGCGGACGAGTATTGTAATTATGTTCCGATTTTATTCAAAATTTTCATCTGGGGTTTTAGGAGTCGGATATTATGATTCTTTCGGCAAAATTGGGAAAAAAGAAGTTGAAATAAATGGTAGTTTGAAAAACTAAAGAAACACGCTTTTATAGATAATGAAACTAAAAAGAAGTAGAAACTGAAATATTAATAGTGTCGTGATGAATATTGAACTGAAAAAATATATTATAGAAATAATGTATACAACAAAAAAACGTTTGCGAGGTCTGCTATAGTTTTGAAATAAAAGTCAAAATTTCAAGATTAGGGTCGAAATTATCTCGCGATAAAAGACAAAATCTGAAAAGGAAGTCGAAAATTTGAGATACAAGTAGAAATTTCGATTTGAAAGTCAACATAATTATTGTCATTTTTTTATGTCATATATCAACCTATTTCTGTGGAAAATTCAAGGTGAAGAATTGATTTTGAAATTTTGATTTTTTGAGGTATTTTCAATCGTTTTTTCAAAATTGCCCTCTTCTAAAGCATTTCGAAAAAAATCACGAGGTAGAGGTTGAAATTCCGTGATAACAATGAACATTTGGAGATAAAAATCGAAATTCCAAGATCATCCTCGAAGTCTCGAAATAAGTCGAAATTTCCAATCAAAAATCACTTCCTTGTAATTGAGATTATCCCTCAGGATACACAAGCAATAAGGATGTTTCACGAACATAATAGGAATTTCCATCCGTGCGATCCAAAAGATGAAAAAATTAAAACTTGAAAAAAAATTGAAAAAATAAAAAAAAAATCTTACCACTTGATAGTATCTGTTGAGCATCCCATCAACAGCATCTTCGGAAATAACCACGGTGCCCCCATCTAAGCCTATGCCTCCACACGTGCCGATCCTGAAGAAGATGGGATCCTTGCACTTGGCGTGGTACATCAGCTTGATGATCTCGTGCAGCAGGATGCCGATAGAGGGACCTCCCATACCATGCTGCAAGTTCGAGAAAATCTAAATCAACATCCCCATATTCGAAGTGAAACGAGAAAATTTTCAAATGTAAAAACTTCAGGAACGATAAGATTTCCACAAAATTAAAAATTAAAAATATTTGAGTGATGATTCAATTTAAGAAATGAAAAAGAAATTACTCCACTCGCCTGGCCGTTACCTGGCGGTATTACTTACCAAGGTTGTTTCGCATGGTAAGCGGTTTACAAATATACCAGGAACTAAAGCCTATGAACTCCACTGACAGTAACTAAACTACTCTGTACTGTATGTTTTAGTTTGGAAAGTTAACTTATTATTAAAGATCTTGAAATGAACGAGAGGGTGAGTGATGTTATTCCATAGGCATTTGTACTTCTTGACAATACTTTTTTTATATGAGAAATCGACAGCCCACTAGCAAAATTTCATCATAATTTAATGTTTCAGTGTTTTATCAGCATTTCTGGAAGCCTTATGTATAACGTATTATACGTCATTTTGAAGGAAAAAAATAACGAAGTCAACGAGATAATAAAATACAGAGTGTTCTATTGAAATATACAGGGTGATTCATATAAGAACCGACATAGAGCAGGGGCATGTAGGGGGTCCCAAAATATGGCAATTTAACGCAACTCACCTCTATACCAAGTTGCTTCCCTAAGGAGATATAGGCTTTGAAAGTGAAGTAATAAATTTTGAGAAAAATCAATATCTCCGTTATTCTTGAACTTAAAGCAACCAAATTTGGTACACTTTGTGGATGTATTTAGGGCGTTACTTGACAGTAACTAGAGTTTAATTGAAATTTCTATAGGGGGTATACCGGGTGGCGCACCATTAATATTCAACATAATTTTGTTAACACTTGATGGATTTCAAAAATCTTTGCTTTGTTTTGTGGGCAATTCAATTCTAAAACTTTTCTTACCCCAGAAATTTTTCGAAAAACCTCATCATTTTCATCAAAAACTCGAATAACTGAAAACGCGCGCTGTAGGTGTGTTATTTAAAATCATCGGAAATTCAAAAGTTGGCTATGAAAATAAACGTCAAACTTGACAATGAGGCAAGTGAGCTGTTCAATTAAGTAATTGTTGCTTGAGTGTTTTTGAAATGAACGGGAAGTTTTCTTTTAACGAGCAAGTTGACATGCTGTTAGTGTTATGCCTATAACTCCTTAGGGAAGCAACTTGGTATAGAGGTAAGTTGCGTTAAATTGCCATATTTTGGGACCCCCTACATGCCCCTGCCCTATGTCGGTTGTTATGTGAATCACCCTGTATATAAGTTTGTGTCGTATCTCCAAAATCACACCCCGAAAAAAAAAACAGTACGCCACTGGATTCTGATCAAAATTTCCTGTTTGACGTGAATCTTATGGCGCAACATTATTTCTGATAACTTCGTAGATATACAGGGTGTCCCTAAAATTTCTTCATAGAAACTTATCACCTCAATGAATAAATAAAATGCTGGTATCAGAAAGAAAATCGAAAAAAAGGCTGTTCACGATATAATAAAATATAGTCTATGCGATAATATTAATATTACGTTATTTCAACTTACACTGACAGATAGGATAGGTCCAACTTTGTACATGCTATATCGGTAAGAATACTGACATATGTCCATCAGTTGCGTTCCTGTCGGCAATTTATGACCGATTTCCTTCATCATGAAATGAGCAAAGTTTTCCATCCTCTTGGGGGTTCCCCCCATACATACAAACTGAAAAAAAAAAGTATAGATATAAGAAAATTGATTATTGGAACTATGCAAGTTTCCTCGTAGCAGATAGCTCTCAAACAAACAAAAAAAATTAATATAGATACACCAATTCACTCTAGTTCGATTTGTCATCATTTCGGTACCTAAATAGAATACAGTTGATTGTTAATTGGCTAAAATTGGGGTCTCTGGATGCAAACTGACCTATTTGTCATCTAACAGGGTACGGACAGATCATTGCTCCTTTCTCTTTTAATAGTTTTAATAATGATGAAATAAACCTCTGGTGCGCTCACTCTTCATTTGTTTCGTCAGACTGGTTCTTGATATAAACAATTGAATTTCAGACGATGACGTGGGGTTCACATATCGAATGTTAGATGGCGTGATTCTTAGAACTTATGATCAACATTAGTTCTACCAACCTTGATGCGGCTAAATCGCAAAATGTATTCCCTATCTTCATTGGTCACAATTCGGTCACAATTGTCACATTGATGCCTGTAATTTTGGTACGGCACCAGACTAAATTTAGCGACATTCACCCACGCCATGTTATGTTCATCGAAGTAGGCGAGAATCAAGGAATTGTAAAACAGAAAAGGATTGAAGTGCGTACACCAGAGGTCTATTTCATCAATGTTTCAATCATCTAGTGACTTTGGTTTCGTGTATTGGCGTCCCTGACATCACATTGCTGTCACGTCACATTCACAGGCGTTAAAAGAGATCTTACAATATTTTAATTTCATACTTGATCTTAATACGACATTGTTCAATTCTGTTTTGGAAGGATGGTAAAATGTGTTGCGTTAGGCTGTATCAATCAGTTGGATGGCAAATTGGAATTTGTCAGCTTTCCAGTCACGTGACTTTCGCTACATGTCAAAAGTGACATTTTTTCAAATTAATCGCTGAAAGTAGGCTTATTTGTACGAATATCGGAAAAGTTTACTTGAAAAAGTTGTTTTATTTCAATTTTACACATGCTTCTCGAATTTGATCTTTCTATTGCAACTTTTAGATTTTGATTTTTTTTTAATTTTTCGAAATTTCTGTAATATTTGAAGAATTGTTAATTCCACGAAACTACTTCATACCAGTATCTTTTTCATGCTACTTACTTTCAATTACTTATTATCACTGATTATGGACAGAAATATGATTTTCTTCAGAAAATGATAATACCCGCTTCCAAATTCTGTTATGTTTGATGCAAAGTTGATATATCGTCAAGCATTTAGAAACGAAATTCATTCAAACTGATCTTTTCAGTACTGAAAAAAAAAATTCAAATGAATTTCGTTTCTAAATGCTTGACTCAAACATAATAGAATTTTGATGTTATGTTTGCATCAAACATAACAGAATTTTGAAGCGGAGATTATCATTTTCTGAAGAAAATCATATTTTTGTCGATAATTATTCATAATTAGTGATTGAAAGTTAGTAACATGATGAAGCTACTGGTATGAAGTAGTTTCATCGAATTTACAATTTTTTTAATATTACAGAAATTTCGAAAATTTTTAAAAAATATCGAAATCTAAAAAATGTAATAGAAAGATAAAATGCGAGTCACATATGTAAAATTCAAATGGAAACAACTTTTTCAAGTAAACTTTCTCGATATTCGAACAAATAAGCCTACTTTCAGCGATTAATTTGAAAAAATGTCACTTTTGACATGTAGCGAAAGTCACGTGACCCCGATTGAGTAGGCCATTTTTCATCTTTTTTAAAGCAAAACTCAACGTCCAACTCGAATTTCAAAATCAGTCATTAATAAAAGTTTTTCCCATATGATGCCGACTTTATGAATGACACTGTATACAGCACACATGACATATGAGCACATTAGTTTGAATACCTACATAAATTTTTCACCGTTTCTCAACCATAAGGTTTAGTCTGAAATCAAAATTCATTTATTGATAGGTACTGCCTAAGAACAGTCCCATTTGGTAAAACGTATTAAACTTTCTGAAAAATTTGCTCACCGCTTCACAAAGATAATGCTGATGTTGAAAAATCAAAAACTCGAAAATTATCATCATCATTCGGATATAATATGTAGAGTTGAATGAGAAATTACATGTGGAAATTACGTATGATACGCCAATGCCCTCAATATAACCTAAAAAACAACAAATGTCTGAAATCTAGTATTTATCCCCAGAAATGAATAAAGATGGAACTATATATCTGTTTCACGAAAATTTTAGAGTGAGGATCTGTCCGTACCCTGTTAAGATGACAAATACGTCAATTTACATCAAAGGACCCTAGCTAAAATCTACTTACTTTGACATCTCCGAACATCTCGACAAGGTCATGTGACCCACTGCCTAGTGCTAGATGGTACAAAATGTCTTGGTCCATGAGTTCGATGTTGGGGTTCCTTAACTTGACACTTCCATCAGGATACCTGCAATAAATAAAAAATAACTTGATCATGAATGCAAATTCTCTACTTCAGAAGGTTTTGTTTTCAAATTCTTATCGTGTGTGTTCAATAGATATAATTCAATGTACGTCTTATGGCATATAGCCAGGAAAGTAGTTTTTTCCTGTTGAATAAACCGAGAAAGAATGGTCATGGATCAAATGACATGTTACCATTCTGACGCCCTGTATAGTCGCTTAACGGAGCGTTTTGTTATAGAGGTCAGTTCGGTTCAATCATCTCACTTTGGTCTCAGAAATATCATATTGTACAGACCTTGTATATCCTGGAAAATATTATTCCCTTTTTTCTAGGGAAATCATTTTCGCCCAACGTATTATTAAAGCGGTACAGCACTGGAATGACCGTGAGAATTTGATTACATTATATATTTGCTTACATTATATTATCAGTGATGCAATGTAATTAAATTCCTCTTTGAAATGTACTGTAGTCATTGATACTATATCGGCTTTATTTATATTTTCGCTTACCATATATGATAATGAATCATATCAACCCTAGAAATGTGACCGAAAGTGATGTATATCGGGACCAAACAACATAAAGGAAATAGTGGAAGGAAACATTCTTGAAATGAAACTAACGGACCAAACTACCCGAATTTACTGCTTCAACATGAACTTCGAGGTGATCATGCAAGATCGAAGGGAATGGACAGATGACAGATGACAACATCAAGAGCAAACCTGGAGAGAAAATCTGCTACACAGTTACACAGACGGGCCCAAGACCAAGGAAGGCTCTGGTGCTGGAATTCAAAGTGAAGGGAGATACTCCCAAATGAACATCTCACTGGGAATGAACGCTTCGATCAGTATTTCAAGCGGAAATGTACGCAATCTTGCAATGTAAGAACAAACAATATGAGGGAATTGAGTGCGCAATGCACGGCTCACAATATGCACCGGTAGCCAGGCGTCACTGAAAGCTCTCATGAACCCGAAAGTGACATCCAGACTAGTACGGGAATGCAGAGAAGAACTCGATGTCCTGTCAGAACATAACAAAATTACCTTGTGATGGGTTCCAGGACATTGCGGCATCGTAGGGAACGAAAAAGCTGATGAACCGGCTCATCAACTCCATACATTGGACTCAGGGTTACAAAAACAGCTACCCGAGGCTACATAACACTGTATCAAAAGTATTCATTAAAGAACCGTCGAGAAATAAATCTGAAGAACTGCTCGAGATGAGTAGGAACCAAGACAGAACAGTAACGGGACTTCTCACTGGTCACAATCCAACGAGAGGACACCTGAATAAAATGGGACTGTACAATGGAGAACATTCCCCTCAGGGGCTCACAACTTGTGAGTACGGGAATGGTGAACCCGAGGTACCCTAGCCGGATATTCACCATACTTCAACTTGTCTTGGGTGATATCCTCTTCTCTCTTCCTTCTTCAATCTATCTATCGGCCTTTCTTGGCCAACTTCTCTCCAAGCCCAACCTCACCATCAAGTGGTGTGGAGAGGACAGACCGCGGCCGCTCAACGGATGAAGCATTTTGGGACCATCTTTGCTATCTCTGGCCAGATGGGACAATTTGTGGACATCTGTGGCAGGGATGGGGCGATTTGCTGATGTTTGTCTAGGTGGCCGAGGACTGGTCAACGAGGCTCTGGCAACCTAATCCAAGCTGTGGGAACCCGTGGTGATGGATGAATGACACCGAGGTATGGTGTCGCTAACGGGGCCTCTGGGAAACAGGGCGACATCTCAGAGTAAGTAGCCTTAGCCCTGTGCAGGGGGCATCACAGGGCTGGACCAACCCCTTTCCCCGTCACTCGTAGGAGAAGGAAAACTTTTGGCCTTCTTCGTAGACGAGAACAGGGATCGGAAGAGCAATCTTCAGGAACCTGAACGAAAAGGGTCTTTCATATTGAAGTGACCCTTAAGAAGCACCATGAGTCGCATATGGTGAAATTGATAACGGCATGTATAGGTAAGATACAATGGGCCACTAGGTATATAAGTGTCGTCGGAGACTTCGGTCAGACGAACCAACAAACGGGGTGGAATGTTTAGTGGGTATACCTGGAGTCAGGGGACTCCCACACTATCATATGGGGGATTGGACCCATATGGTGTCCATAAAGGAGTTCAACCACCTCGATGGAAAAAAAAATGGAGAACTTTTCCACAGACAATGCGATGAAGGGACAGAAACGGGCAAACACTTATCAATAGAATGCGAGGCATTGGATCGCAAAAGACAAGAAATATTCGGACAGCCTAGGCTATAACTCCCGAAGAATATAAGAGCCAACCGGTGAAAAACCTCTATAGAATGGTGCAGGGAATAAAAATTACGAAATGGGTGCTGTAAAATAAACTGGAATGCAGAAAAAGCCCAGGAGGCTGAGGTGTAGCCGATGATAGGGCCAGCATCCAAGGAAAAAATGTATACCATCGTCCCTTGGGCTGCTAGACTCACAACAACACGATTTTGTGGTTTTTCACTATCTAGACACCTTTGACTGTCACTTGCGTGATGTGTTTTCTGACGTTTCACTTAAATTTTCATCAAACGTGTGAATCGAAGTTCGGAATCATGTTTCTGGTAGGTGACACAATATACTATTTTGTTATGAAAGTAATGACTGACTTTGCAGAACTTAAATTTGAATCGAATGTTCGCTCATTATGAGCATGATCATCATTCGCCAGTGGCCATTCTATTTCCAAAAGTGAATCAGATACGCCCTTTTTGAATTGACTCGATCTTGATGGAAATCCATAGTGAATAAAAAACTTCACAAACAATGATTCGTTATCGTTTAGTTTTTTTAAAATACGCTTTATCTGTCAAAAATGATTAACGTTTGAAGTATCTACTTCAATTACTGGAAATTAATTCAATTTTAATCCAAAATCTTGGTCGTCTATTTATTCTTACCTCACTTCATCATCCTTGATATTTTCTTCGCTGTTCGAATTTCCACAGCTTTGTGAATTTCCCGTACTACACTGCATTTTTCACGATATATTATATTGAAACTATCACTCAATTATTATTATTACTATGATAACGGACTGGATTTAGGTACTCCGTTTGAATAACAGACTAGACGATACTGCATTTATAGCTGATTCAGTGAAAAAATTCGTTACCTAGCTCTATTGGATTACAGTTTTTATTATACTGATTGTTGATAACAATATTGCGAGAGAGGAAAGCTAGTTTTCGCGAGATTAGCCGGTTTGTATGTAAACAACTCTATGTACAGGGCTATTCATTATATTTCGACACCCATCTACAGTCATTTTGAACGTGTTTTTTTACGTATCATATCGGAACTAAACTGCTCAACACATGAAACGTAAAATCGCAAATTTGAATCATCATAACTTTCGATTTCCTTAACCGATTTTCAATTATTTTTCAATTTCTGAAAGCTCGTTTCATTGACTATCGAACCTATGGATATGACTGTTTCATCTTTTCCGGATGAGATTCTACAGGATGATAATCAAAGCTGTGCATTTTTCCAAAAATTTCATACGCCTCCCGTTTAGAAGAATTTTTTTTTTATTTTTTTAGGGGTCAAAAACTTATTGCTTTATATGTTTTCTCGAAACTGTGGAAAAATTTCAGGAATTGTTATACGCGTTACTGAAATATGAATGTTTTATTAAGATAATGCACAATTTGATGCACTAATTTCTATTGGCTTTGTATTCCTGGTCAATCTGATTCGAACGGTAGTCAAAATTCTTGAAATGCTGCATGATCAACCTATTTCTATATACAGGGTGGTCCTCAAACAACAATTAAGACATAAAGTAATAAAAAAAATCTTGTTTTGACGAGCAAGAAAATTTCGAAGCAGGAAACCGATTGAAAAGTTTTCTGGCGATCAAAGCGGGTAGGAGATGTTGTCATCACCATGTCAAGCTGCTACAGAATCTATTGCTGTTCTTGCAATCTCGTGAATTTTCATACTTTCAATGTTGAATTCAATTAAAGGTGAGAGTGATGTGATTTGAACTGGTGTTATTGATGAAAAGTCATGGAACTTGGACATTGTGATTGTGATGGAATTGAATATGAAATATCCATGTGACTCACGTCTGCCCTTCTTTTGAATTTCGACAAAAATTTTCCTTTGTGAAGACGTTCACCGCAAATGAAATCACATCCTGTTACTCGTTGATCTACTGCAATTGTGATGAATCATGTCAGTTGCATTGTATGTCTCGGCAGCAACTTTTTTTATTTAGACGACATCCTGTATATTTCCCCAGTCTATCTCATTATCTTCTAAAAATCTATCACAAAGTGAGAACGACGCTCTGAAAATCCGGTTTTTATAACAATTCCAGTGGTTTTATCTTGCAATAGATTATGTAGCAACATGACATGGTGATGACAATCTCCTACACGCTTTGATCCTGCTTTGAAATTTTCTTGACCGTCAAAACAAGATTCTTTTTTTTACTTGATGTCGTAATTGTTGTTTGAGGACCACTCTGTATATTGGAATAGGTTGATCATGCATCATTTCAAGATTTTTGACCACCCTTCGAACCAGATTGACAGGATCACAAAGTCAATAAAAATTAGAGCATCAAATCATGCATTATCTTAATAAAACATTCATATTTCAGTAACGCATGTGACAATCCAAAAAAAAATTTCACAGTATCGAGAAAACATTTGAAGCAATATGTTTTTGACCCCCAAAAAACAATAAAAAAATTTTCTTACAAACGGAAGGCGTTTGAAAGTTTTGGAAACATGTACAGCTTTGATTATCATCCTGTAAAATCTCATCCGGAAAAGATGAAGTAGTCATATACATAGGTTCGATAGTCAATGAAACGAGCTTTCAGAAACTGAAAAATAATTGAAAATCGGTTGAGGAAATCGAAAGTTATGATGATTCAAATTTGATCGAAAAAATGGGATTTTACGTTTCATGTGTTGTGGCCAGATCGCCAACTTTTCTACGGTGTTCCAGAGAAGTGAGTGAGTTTGTGAGCGAACCATCACCCACGAGACGAATTTCACTTTTTTGGACATAATCCAACAGTTTCAGGGTATGTTTGGGTGCTGCACTCCAAATATGGGAACAGTATTCCAGGACAGGTCGGATCTGTGCCTCATAGATCATAGATCATAAGCAGCTGACTGGAAGTGAAATAGCTCCTGGCCCGAAACAGAAAACCAAGTTTTTGGGATGCACTTCTAGCAATTATTATTATTGCTGATAGTAATACCAAGCATCGAAATGGATGTCTTCAAAGGTATGGTTACTCCTGACAAGCTTATGTTGGGCACAATGAGATCGGCTATTCTAGAAAAAAGGCATGTTTGTGTTTTGTTTGCATTGAAATGAAAATAATACGAATTAAACAGTATACAGGGCGCTATTTTAAAAAAGTTCGTGTATAAAACGTAATAAAAATTCACATTGTATAAATATATAGCCAACCGTTACACAATCACGCACAGCACAAAGACAACTACTAAAAACTGCATGATTCATCCTGTCTGTGTCTGTACAATGCATCTACCTTTGAATCCAAACTCAATGATTATATCGTACAAGGAGATCCATTCTTCATTCTTTCAACAGTTATGTCAGGTAATTATTTCCTTCCACAGATGCATACTATATCATGAACGTCCTATAAAAATATTCACAAGGGGCAAATTTCTGATAAAAATAGTAGTTCACAAAACTGAAGAAACACCCTTTTAGCCAAACTGAAAAGATGTGGAAAATAAAATAATGAAAGAGTGTTGATAAATACATAGCATGGAAAATATCAGCACCACCTTTATTTTCTACTTCTACTTCTTTTTAGTTTGGCCATCTAAGGTTGTTTCTTTAGATTTTTAAACTTTTATTTATTTCAAATTTTTTATTTCGACTAACTACTAAATCTTATTTTGACGAGAGAATCATAATCTCCAACCCCGAAAACCACCAGATACTAATTTTTAATAGAATCGGATCATGATTACATATATAGAATTAGAAAACAGGGCTGAAGGATGGTTCTCAGCAAATAATTTGAAAATAAACAGAAATAAAACACAGAAATTACTTTTCTCAACGAAAATAACTCCAGGTAGTTGCTATGAACCAGAAAATAATGCAAAGTTATTAGGAATAACAATAGATGACAAATTAAGTTGGAAAAGTCATATTGAAAATCTGAGCAGCAGACTATCTAGCACAATATTCCTGTTGAGGCAATTGAAAACCATCACCAATTTATCTACAGTTAAAACTGTATATTTTTCCATGTTTCACTCTAGAATGAGCTATGGAATCATTCTTTGGGGCAACTCATCTTATGCCATTAATATTTTTCGACTTCAAAAAAAGGCATTGCGGATAATTGCAAACGCTGATTATCGCGAACATTGCAAACCACTCTTTATCAAATACGGAATATTGTCCCTCCCTTCACTGTACATTTATCAAACGCTCATTGAGATACACAAAAATGTTGACAGCTTCACCCGTCAGTCAGATATACATAAGTATCACACGAGACATGCTAATCATATTCAAACACCACGGTATAGATTAGTAAAATCCCAAAAAAATTCTATGAATATTCAATTATACAATGCACTACCGACCACAATAAAATCTACGGGAAATCGTAAGTTCAAATCAATAATGAAAAAATATTTCCTGCAAAAATGTTTTTATTCCATCGAAGAATATTTGCAAACAATTTGTGATGACATGAGTTTTTTTTTTCTTTTGAAATCTCTGAGTTCTGATAGCTCCTGTTTTTGATTGTTAGTCTTTGAAATTATATACCTATTTAATGTTATGCTTTCAAAATTTGGTGTGTCTATATACTATATACTCAATTTTATTTATACTTGTAAATGTTTGGAGGTATTTAGCTTATCTTGACTTGCTACCAATATATGTTATATATATAATGTAGTTAAATAAAGCTCTATCTATCTATCTATATTGAATTCCCCAATTTTGACCAAAGCATCATAATCTCCTACCCCGAAAACCGCCAGGTACAAATTTTGACTACATTCGGATCATAAATTACAAAACTCGTCCGCCATATTGGATCTGCCATCTTGAATTTTCAAATTTTGACGAAAGAATCATAATCTTTGACCCCGAAAACCACCAGATACAAATTTTGGAATAGATTCGGATCATCACTACAAAACTCGTCCGCTATATTGAATCCGCCATCTTGAAACCGCCATTTTGAATTAACCATCAATTTTGACGAGAGAATCCTTTAATTCCCCCCTCCTCCAAGAGTTAAAAAAAATGAAGGTACACCAGACGATAGATCTATTTTTCTTCATAACTGATGAAGAAAAATAAGACCTGATGAGACAAAAGTCGGATATAAAAACAAATCTTCCTCTGACATTCTCCTTTAGCAACAAATTGTTATTGTTCAACAAACTGACGTATGTTTACGATGCAATGTTCGAGATTGGTGAATAATGAATCATATGATAATAATAAGTACGCTACGTGTTATCTATCAACTGTAAGCAAATGATATGAGTTAATCAATATTTTCAAGTGCCTACTCAACCATTCAACATTCATAAAAGTTAGTGCAAAATAAAAATCGAAGTACTTGTTGAACTTGTTAGATAATGATCTACGAAAAAGTAACACATATCCTCTTTGATCTAGATGGTCTGCTAATTGGTGAGTTGATAAAAATGCTTATCTATGATATAGGTTCCTACTTGAATCAAGTTCATTATCATTGTCAAGCTGTGAGCTCGGCTGTCAGAACCTTGCAGTACCTTGTAGATTAATTATTTGCATCATTTGAGTATTCACACATAATCAAGGATACCTAATACATTCTTTCATGAATTTTCCAAGCAATCCAGTCTTTCATAAAGTCTCGTCTCGTCGATGAAATATGAAGTCTTGTCTCGAGTCTCGTCTCGTAGTCTGGAGTCTCGTTTTGTCTCGCGTCTCGTACGAGAGTCTCGCAAATGTATCGCAATTTCGTCATGCATAATCTTGTTCCATTCTAGCACGGGATATTTACCTTTACCTAATTTTTAGGTATAATGTAGAAGTAGGAAGAGAAAATTACAACAAAAATAACATTATTTAGTGAAAAGTAAGTACCTAATAGGTACATACTTACATCATACACCTAAACAAGAAAAAAGAACATAGCATTGTATATTCTAAAGTTATAAAAATAAAATGAAAAGTAACACAATATATTCTGAACAAATAAACAAAACAAAAACTTAATCCAACATCATTTTATCTAAGAAAGAAAAGTCAGATCAGCCTTCACGATCACAAATGTTTTTGTTCTCCACTCAGTCGTTAAGAAAACAAAGTTATTCTTTATCTTCGACTATTCAGCACAGAATGATTTATCTATAGATTTTCAGGTATGCGATCTGTCGTTATTGCAGAATTGCCTTTATATTCTGCCGCCGTAAGAGAGAGAATAGTCCGTTTTCGTTTCACGCATTACGTCGTTTTACAACAATCATGGATTGTGTTTTCAAAGTATTAATGAATTAAATGTTTTGTCTATCTGTCCTAAATAATCTGAATTCTTGCTGAATATGTTGTATTATGAATGAACTTCTCAAGTCTGCAGTCGGCACGCAGAAATATTTACCTGCGAGACTCTCGCACGAGACACGAGAAGTCTTGCACGAGACCGAGACGAGACCAATAAAAGTCTCGTCTCCTCTTGTCCGAGTCTCGTCTCGAGTCTTGTCTCGAAAACGAGACGAGACCATGCGAGACTCTCGTGGGCACCACTAAATCCAGTATTTATCGATTAATCGCGTTTATTTTAGTATCTACCCATAAATTTTGTAGCTAAGCTTGATCGATGTGTAGTTTGCAAATGTTTCAATGAATTTATTGATCATAAATATACAGGGTTTGTCAAAAAAGTGTGCTGCAAGCTGCAAACTTTCAGAGTGATATTCAAAAAACTGACTGTTTCACATTTTTTTCGAAACAGCAATAAAAAAATCATTGATTCCAGAATCTGAGGCGATATACGAGAAAATAGCCAGAGATATAGCCAAAGAATTCGGGAAAAAATACACCAAAGACGTGAAAATAAAGGTGATGGGCACCCCAGAACCAGAAACCGCCAGAATAATAATCCAGGAACTCGAATTACCCCTCACCCCCGAAGAATTCCTAGCTAAGTACGAAGTCAAGGTCAGGGAAGATCTGAAAAGCCCAAAGCTGATGCCCGGAGCCGAAAACCTGATCAGGCATTTCCACGAAAACGGCATTCCAATAGCCATAGCGACCTCGTCAAGGCAAGACTTGATGGAAATGAAGATCATGCCTCATCGTGAGCTATTCGATTTGTTTGACCACTTTGTATGCTCTAGCTCTGATCCCGAGGTCAAACAAGGGAAGCCTGCCCCAGACATATACTTGGTGTGTGCTTCTAGGTTTCCAGATAAACCTGATCCTTTCAAGGTAAGTGATCAGAATGTATACGACTGCATGGGCAATGTCTATAAGAAATATGAGTTTTTTCCAAGATTGTCCACGCCGCAGATCTTTAGTTCAATATCCGATTGTTTCCAATATTCATCAAGACACTATTATCATTTTACTTTCTGCTTCTTTTTAGTTTCGCTATCTATAAAAACGTTTTTCTTCAGTTTTTCAAACTACCATTCATTTCATTTTGACGAAACAATCATAATATCCGACTCCCAAAACACCAGATGAGAATTTTTAATAGATTCTGAACATAATTAAAAAACTTGTCCGCTATATTGGATCTACCATCTTGAATTCCCTAATTTTTGATCTCGAAAACGCCCTCTTACAAATTCTTAATAGAATCGGTATCTAATAACAAAACTCGTCCGGTATATTGGTTCCACCGTCTTGAATTTCCAAATCCCGCCCTTTCCAAATTTTGACAAAAGAATCATAATCTCCGACTCGGAAATCAACCAGATAACAATTTTGAAGAGAGTCGGATCATAAATTACAATACTCGTCCGCCATATTGGGTCCGCCATCTTGAATTTCTTAATTTTGACGAAAGAATCATAATCTCCGACCTCGAGAACCACCAGATACCAAATTTGAATAAAATCGGATCCTAATTACAAAATCCGCCATTTTGAATCCGCCATCTCGAATTTCATAAATTTGAGGAATCTTAATCCCCGATGACGAAAACTCCTAGGTAACAATTTTGAAGAGAATAGGATTATAATTACAAAACTCGTTCGCCATATTGGTCCACCATCTTGAATTTCCAAATTCCGTCTGAATTTTCAAATTCTGTCGAAAGAATCATAATCTCCGGCCCCGAAAACCTCCAGATACCAAGTTTGAATAGAATCGGACCATAATTACAAAACTCATCCGAAATGTTTAAAATTGTTTTAGGTAAAAAATATACCTCACCATCTTTCCTCGGAACAGTTCGAAACATTTTTGATTTTACGTTTCGAATGTTGAGTAGTTTATATCAAATTGAAATGAATTTATTTTTTCTGCAACCGACACAAAATTCGCCATTTTGATATCAAAATCAGCTCTTAAATTGACGTTTCTATTACTGACACAAAAATAGGCATGTTGCTAGGCAATATATTTAGTCCCTAGGAGCTGGAGTTGAATTTTAGTTCCTAGGAGCTAAAGTTGAACTTTCGCTCCTAGGACCTAAAAAGGATGTACTGGACGTCATCAAGAATAAAAAACATTGTGACGGTTGGTTATTTGGGTTGAGACGCATACCTGATTTGTTTCCGATTTCAGCAGATTTGGCATTTCATACCCATGCTGGAGATATAAATACACCTTATTATAGTTCAGTATTGGAATTATAAACATCTCAGTTGAGTATTTTTTTATCAGGGAAGCCTTCAAGATTCAAATACTTGCTTGATCTGTATTTCTTTCGTTATTCTCGGGATGGATAACTTGGTTTTGAATAATCACGGCAAGCAATAGTTTTTTGTCTCAAACAACGATATTGTTTAGCTTCATTTGATTATCAAGTCAAACACAGTGTAGTATGGACAGGAACAAATAATCTCTATTATCATTTTCGATATGCCCACTAACCTAACATTTTCCACGTCTTGTTCCTATAGCTGGCACTGGCGCGGTATTTGCCATTAGAGCACCTGATCCATGTACACAAATATGTCACTCGCTGTGGTTTTATTTATTGAAACTACAATTCGAACATCCTTGAATGCCTAACCTGCTGTTAATGCAGGTAGAATATCCTCACCACACGGATTATTTGTCAATATTTGTTGCATTGCATACATATGGCACTGCATTGGTGGTTACTTCACATGTTTATTTGAGTTGATTGTTTCGGTTGCAGAAAAAATAGCATGTTTCATTCGGATCAAAAGTGACTTTCTTCGACTCACAAATTTGTTCTTTCGCTCGGCTTCGCTAAACGCTCCGCCTCGCAAATGCAAAATTCGCTTGTCAAACAAAGTGTCACTTTTGATCCTAATAAAACAATCTACTATTCTCTGCGAAGGGAAAAAAGTTTGGCATTTCATCTCTGTTGGCAGGTTATAAAATGTCACTTTTCATAAATAACATTTTTCCCGGATATATATCAAATATAATATATACACTGTTGATGGCTATAGTTCCGAAAAATCAGTCAATATACCGTCTCCGAGAAAGAACTACAAGTCCTTTTATCTTTCATTCGACTTCGCGGTTACGTATATTACTAAACAACCACAAAGTTCGCAATTTTTTGAAATCAAATCACAGAATTAGACTGACAGAAGTGACATCAGATATTTGATTACTTCAAAAGAATGATAAAGATGCCTACAACGCAGGGGTCCCTACTGTTAAAGACTTGAAATTTCACGTCGATAATTTTCAGATTTCAAAATAATGAAATATCTTCTCTATATTGATTCGTCCTTCCTTCTGTCACAGAAAAAAATAGTGTATTATACACGGGAAAAATATTAGACAACACAACCTGGAGCTAAAATCTACTACTTTTTTCCCTTGTATAATAAATAACTATTTCAGTGCCTGGTATTCGAAGATGCTGTGAATGGTGTTAAATCTGCTCTGAGAGCTGGAATGCAAGTAGTCATGGTTCCTGATCCAGATGTTCCAAATGAACAAAGAAAACAGGCAACTTTAACTCTGAACTCCTTAGAAGACTTTCAACCTGAACTCTTTGGTCTACCATCTATGGCCTGCAGGTGTTGAAAGAATAGTTGGAGATTTTGTTTCATTTCGAACGACTTGAGTTTAGCTAAACAGGGTCAGAATCAGAATAAGACAGATAGTAACGTTTTAAACTACACTGTTTTACCACTAACCAAACCGATTTTTTAACGCCTCGACACGTGTTTTAATCTTCTCCTGAAGATGCTAACATAGTTAGCGAAACACGTGTCGAGGCGTTAAAAAATTGGTTTGGTTAGTGGTAAAACAGTGTAGTGTATTATCGTGCCAAAGGTTCCAGTCTTCGATATATAAGTAACGTTTTAGAACAAAAACTCATCACCTTTCATTCTGATTCACTATAGTTACCCTGTATTTACAGGGTGAGTCATGAGGAACTGTACATACATGAACTATCGAAATTTCTCAAAGACGGTCCTGGATTTTTCCGACCCTGAATAAGTCAGTCGATTATAGAGAAGTATCGGAATATTCCGTGGAAGAATCAGACAATTCGAAGAAGCTGTTGGAAAGTTATGACTAAAAGATGTTTCTTTCAAATCTCATAATTCATCCTATACAGTGTCATTCATAAAGTCGGCATCATATGGGAAAAACTTTTATTAATGACTTATTTTGAAATTCGAGTTGGACGTTGAGTTTTGCTTAAAAAAAGATGGAAAATGGCCTACTCAATCGGGGTCACGTGACTTTCGCTACATGTCAAAAGTGACATTTTTTCAAATTAATCGCTGAAAGTAGGCTTATTTGTTCGAATATCGAAAAAGTTTACTTGAAAAAGTTGTTTCTATTTCGATTTTACATATGTGACTCGAATTTTATCTTTCTATTAAATTTTTTAGATTTCGATATTTTTTAAAAATTTTCGAAATTTCTGTAATATTGAAAAAATTGTAAATTCGATAAAACTACTTCATACCAGTAGTTTCATCATGCTACTAACTTTCTATTACTGATTATCACTAATTATCGACAAAAATATGATTTTCTTCAGAAAATGATATAATCTCCGCTTCAAAATTCTGTTATGTTTGAGTCAAGCATTTAGACAGAAAATTCATTTAAATTCATTTTTTCAGTACTGAAAAGATCAGTTTAAATGAATTTCGTTTCTAAAAGCTTGACGATGTATTAACTTTGCATCAAACATAACAGAATTTGGAAGCGGGTATTATCGTTTTCTGAAGAAAATCACATTTCTGTCCATAATCACTGATAATGAGTAATTGAAAGTAAGTAGCATGAAAAAACTAACGGTATGAAGTAGTTTCGTGGAATTAACAATTCCTCAAATATTACAGAAATTTCGAAAAATTAAAAAAAATATCAAAATCAAAAATTTGCAATAGAATGATCAAATTCGAGAAGCATGTGTAAATTTAAAATAGAAACAACTTTTTCAAGTAAACTTTTTCGATATTCGAACAAATAAGCCTACTTTCAGCGATTAATTTGAAAAAATGTCACTTTTGACATGTAGCGAAAGTCACGTGACCCCGATTGAGTAGGCCATTTTTCATCTTTTTTGAAGCAAAACTAAACGTCCAACTCGAATTCCAAAATAAGTCATTAATAAAAGTTTTTCCCATATGATGCCGACTTTATGAATGACACTGTATATTGGAAAAGAAGTGAAGAAGACACTTTCTTATGGATATTGGGTACTCCCCTCAGGGACCTCTATTCGTTGTAGGAGTACGTACAGTACCTCATGACTCACCCTGTATAGGTACCTCTACCTATTACCTGCAATAATTTCACAGTTCACTGATGCATATCTTTCAATAAAGACTTATATTCTTAGAATACCTACTGTTTCTGTAATATAGAAGAGTACTTGAAGAAGATCATGTTGGTGTTTGTTTTTCATTCATGTTGCGTACAAAATAATGAAAAAAAAAACGTGACCAACTCATATCTAGTTCATTGCCAATCTTGTTTTTACGAAATTGAGTGATATTGTTCACAAGGAAAATTTAGGTCTACGATAATGTTCAGGTTCAGCCATTCCGAACATAGTAATTTTCTCGTTAATGATAGTAGGTATAGCTCCAATTTTTCGGCTATTAAAAATATAGAGCTACGGATAACCTTCTGATTTTTTTCTGTAACCTTCACCACGAGGTATGTCTACCGTGAAATTTCAATTCCTTTTTGTAGACAGCAGATAAGTAAATGTTCAATGATGTCATTATAACACTACACCACACCTATCAGTCTCAGAATACAGGGTTTTTTATGAAATGAGGTAGGAATTGGTGTTCTTCTTAACTTTCTGGAGGTTATATGCCTCGGGGAACACCTCCCTTGGCAATGGGTTCCAGAGCCTCGCTGTTCGTCGGATGAACGATCCTTTGGAAAGAGATGTTCTGCAGGTCTCCAAAGTGACCACGAAGGGGTGCACAGCCTCAATTCGACGGGCTAATCTCGTGGGGACTGCTAAGGGAGGAACAATTGTTGATATTCCAGAAGAGCATCGTCCATGAAAATATCTATGAAATATAGCCAGATCGCCAACTTATCTTCGGTGTTCCAGAGAAGTGAGTGAGTTTGTGAGCGAGGCATCACTCACGAGACGAATTGCCCTTTTTTGAACAGAATAAAACAGTTTCAGAGTATGTTTGGGTGCTGCACTCCAAATATGGGAACAGTATTCCAGGACAGGTCGGATCTGTGCCTTATAGATCATAAGCAGCTGACTGGAAGTGAAATAGCTCCTGGCCCGAAACAGAAAACCAAGTTTTTGTGATGCACTTTCAGCAATTGATCTCACGTGATTTTCCCAAGAAAGGTTATTGCTTATAGTAATACCAAGCATCGAAATGGATGTCTTCAAAAGTATGATTACTCCTGACAAGCTTATGTTGGGCACAGTGAAATCGGCTTTTCTAGAGAAAAGGCATGCTTGCTAAATTTGAATTTGTTTCCATAGTTGTCTCTCTTCATGACATAATTTAAACAGAGAATGGCATAGAAAAAAATCAAACTTAGCAGTTAGAGCAAACATAAACGAATAGGCCTAATGTATAAATTGACATGATCTACATGCCTAAAATATTTTGAACGATGGGGCGTTGCCGCTTCTACTAGAAAGTATCAGCAACTTTGACATTTCAAATGGAACACCCTGTATTCCATTGCATTTTTAGATTCTAGCTGCAAAGGCGATTTCATTGATATATCATACTTTGGGTCCAGAAGGGATGAATACTTAGATATAGGGTGTTCAGAATCGAGATTTTTCAACTTCAGTATTTTTTTTTGTGTCGTACATGTACCAATCTCAACTTTTGATTAACTATCTACTAGAATTCAATCGGAACAAATACAGAGTGGTTCAAGATTTAGAATTCTGATCACCATGCATCTACAGTATCTTCTACATTGATTTCTCGATTTTGAACACCCTATATCTCTGTAATCATTACCACTAGAACCCAAGTATGTGATGCATTGACGCAATAAGCTCGTGAGGGAGAATCTAAAAATGCATTGAAATACAGGGTGTTCGCTCTGAAAAATCAAAATTGCTGCTACTTTCTAGTAGAAGCGGCAACGCCACATCGTTCAAAATATCTTAGACGTGTAGATCATGTCAATTTATACATATAACCATCAAATTGTCAGATTCATATGTTGCTTGGTATGCCAGAAACGTTTAAATTACGGTCATCGTGAAAAAAATCTGTATAGTTTTATACTTATAGAAATCTACTCAAAAATCAAAAGTATTATTAGGTCAAATTATGTTCTCTTATATTTTTTTTATTTTTAAAATCTCTGTAGGTTCTATTTTGAAAAAAATCACATTAGTACGAATAGCCTTCCTACATTCATGTTTCAAAGTATTCATATTCAAATTTCATGCTCCCTATTTCTTAAGAAAAAATGATGTAGATGACCCAAACACCTTTGCAGTAGTGCAATTTTCTTTAATATCATCGTTGTTGGCGATGTTGGCGATATTATCTAATAAATACGGCAGATCAAAGAACATCCTGTATACAAGGTGTATCTAAATGGCACCGAAAAAATTCAAGGGGTGATTCCCTGTGATATTTTGGGAAATAAAGTTCAATCTCTGGTAGAAGTCCATGTTTGCTCAAAGTGGAGTGGATGGAGTGGTTATTTAGAGCACCTTGTGTGTTCGTCAAGTTTCCCTTCTGGGACTTGACTTTTGATTTTATTCATAAGTGCGCGTTCTCAGGGCACGGGGCCCTTCATTTTAAATGAAAACCCGTTTATTCCTTTCAATTATTTATTCTTATCAATGATATTATGATGAGAGACATCGACAACTTTGTTAAAACAAATAATGTTCACCTCCATGTAAGTCAAAATTTTTTCTTATAACATTTTGTAGATATATTTTCACATGTCTTTACTTTTAGTAATTCCTTAAATACGGCTGAAGATGGACTTTTATAAGTTCGAAACATGTCTCGTTGAATAACTACATCATATTAAAGTTGTGGAGATGACTTTGAGCTTTCCTTCCTCCTTTAAATAAAGTTCATATGAACATGTGTAACTTTCTTCGTTTTCGAGATACAGGGTATTAATATTTCCATGAAAGATCGTTTTTTAATTCATTACTCAATTAATTGTCTTATCATCAATTTCAATGAAACGTTGTGATTTTGTTAATAGTAATATGAAGCTTCTTCTAATGCAATTAGATTCGAAATAATATTTCCATTGGCGTCACACTCGTCACAGTGGGTAAATTTATCGATATTCATGGTGAATGTCATTGTACGCCAACGGTTTTTCTGAGTTGCATATTTTCATTATATTGAACTATTTAAATAACAACTTTTAAATCCTCTGTGTGATTTTTGTATCTAGCTTAGTTTTTGAGGAATCAATAAATATTCGATTTCACTCCGAATTTAATGTAGGCGTTTTCAAGACTTCCATTGAGATTACTCAATAACCCCAATTAGGATCATTGTGAAATTTTGGGGTTTCCTCAGTCTCCAACCATACTGAATTCTGGCACCATGAAAGCTTATACAGGGGGTTAGAAATAAAAACAATTACTACTTCCAACTTCAACATCCTGAATCTCAAAAACGGAGCAAGTTATAACACATGCTTATATGAACTTT